TAGACAGTAGCCAAGGAACCAAGGCAACGAAACTTCAAGTCCAGGAACCATTGACTTGAACACACATGAAAATGACATGCAGGCATTATGCAACAGGTGACACGTTGAAAAGAGGCATCATAGGTGGCCATTCCATGTCTTTCTCTTGTTCCAATTGTTTTTGAATTCTCTTCCAATTCTAATTGATTCACATGTATCTGTGTGTTGGATTTCCAAATTTATGGTCTTCAAGATGTATTCTGAATACAATTTTCAGGATTTCCACAACGTTTATGCATTTTATATTGCATGACAGATTCCCAAGCACAATATGTAACATTAAGAAATATTGTTTTCTGCCCTTCAGAATCCTAGGAGAATTTTGTAGATGAACCTTAAGGTCTTGGAAGCTATTTGAGTTCTCTAGTGAGCATTTTCATTGCTTCTTTAACATCTTTGTTTCTCAAAGAATATATGAGTGGATTAACAACTGGAGTTACCACTGTATGAAGGAGAGCAATGAACTTGTCCTTCTCTACAGAAGAAAAAGGAGGCCTGATATATGTGTAGATGACTGAAGAAAAGTAAAAACTGATTACAAAGAGATGTGAGGAACATGTGGAGAATGCTTTCTTTTTTCCTTCAGTGAAACGGATCCTGAAGATGGTCCTCAGTATAAAAAAATAGGATGTTAGAGTCAACCCACAAGTAACAATCCCAAAAAACACATCTGAAATGATTGTACTAACATGGATTATACTGGTGTCTGAACACGCAAGATCTAATATTTGAGGTATATCACAGAAGAAATGATCGATGACATTGGAATCACAAAAAGAAAGCTGGAGCATGAATACAGTTTGTACCGAAGTGTTTAGCATTCCAGCAATCCATACAGTGGTTGCTATGGCGACACATACTTCTTTCCTCATGATAACAGTGTAATGCAAAGGCTGGCAGATGGCAGCATAGCGGTCAAAGGCCATAAATGACAGAAGGAACAATTCTGACCCCAAGGTCCATATAAAGAAATATATTTGTGCAATACAGCCATAAAGTGAAACCATTTTTGTATGGGTCAAAAGACTTTTGAGTAACCTGGGAGTTATAACTGAGATAGACAATATATTCACTAAGGACAAATTGAATATGAGGAAGTACATGGGTGTGTGGAGTTTCTTGAATGTGCATATAGTAGACATGAGGAGGAAGTTGGCATCTACAGCTGCAGCATAGATGAATGTAAACACCCCAAAGAGAGGTATCTGCAGTTCAGGGGAATCAGTAAGACCCAGTAGGATAAATTCTGTAATGGCAGAATGGTTTTTTATTTCAACAACTCTGACTCCAGTGACCTAGAAAGATACATTATATTATTAAGTCTTTATTGATTTAATCAGCCCATCACTTTTAATATTAAAGGTAAATAATGGAGAATAAAGAGCCAGATTGATGTTATGGAGAAAGCCGCTGGACTGGAAATTGGGAGATTGTGATTTCCAGACTTGCCTTACACACAAAGCCATTTGGATTACTTTCTCTTTCTTACCCTTAGGGAAAGGTAATGGCAAACCCTTTCCAAAAAAAAAAAAAAAAGTTTCCAAGATAATTGCATGGATTCAAAGGGGTGTGCACGTCCGGACACACAAACATACACACAAAGATATTTTACTTTCCAAACTCATAGTCAGTGAAGAACCCTAGGTAATGATCATATTTATCCAATTTCCAATAAAATGCTGTATGTATTATAATCTGGCTGCACATGTCAAAAAATACTTGACATTTAACCAGTTATAACTGGTATTTATTTCCTCATCAGTTATTTTCATTTCAGAAGACACATGATATATGGCACAATATTTTGTAGAAAGTGTTTAGTGAGCAAATAACTTGGACTGTGATCTGTAGGTAGGTAGGTAGGTAGGTAGGTAGGTAGGTAGATGATAGATGATAGATGATTGATAGACAGACAGACAGACAGACAATCATAAGATTAGTAGTCCTAAATTGTCAAAAGAACCTGGTTTTTATACTTTAAATGACGACATGGCTATAGGCATTTGATGTGGTTCTGTACAGACTAAGGTTTTTGCATCTTTACTAAGTATATAAAAAAGGAAAAATAATGAATTTCCTAGGACAGAGCAAAATTTTGCTTCAGAAAATTGATTTGAAGGAAATTTGTTACTTAGTGGTGTTTAGACTAACATTAAATACTTAGTTCCAGTGATTTTAATCTGACTGTTCAAAGTATAATAAAACCTGGACTGAATATGAATTTTTAACCTGTAATTTGTAATTGCAACACTATTATCCTCTCCCTACAGGCTTAATTCTGAAAGCCTAGAGGAAGGATCAAATTAACTTTATTCATATTCTTTAATTTCTATTTAAAAAAAAAGCGTACACAACTTCTTTAGGTTATAATGAATTGGAAAACTGTTTCTGACTTTACCTAGTTCTATTAATAAAGTGCTATTACTAAAAAAAAGTCAGCAGTACCCTGATTAGTTTATTTAACTGTGTCTGTGTGTGTGTGTGTGTGTGCATGTAAATGTACATTCCCTCAAGTCAGGGTTGAATCCTGGAGACTGCTTGGGCAAGTCCATGCAGTTTTCTTGGCACTATTTTAGAAGTGGTTTGCCATTGCCTCCTTCCTAGGCCTGAGAGAGAGTGACTGCTCCAAGGTCACCCAGCTGGCTTTGTCCCTAAAGCAGGACTAGAACTCACTGTTGCCAGCCTGATGTCTTAACCACTACACCAAACTGGCTCTGTGTATTTAACCATACACACAATTAAAATTTTAGTAAAATCTAGGAAAGTTAAGAGGTCACAGCTATTTAAGTTGCTAATCTATACTCCATGCATTTTCAGTTACGAAATCTTGCAACTTAAAACAGAATACTAAAAAAGCTTTTGTATCTGAGGGATAGAGAGAAAGAGAGTGATGGGAGTTCAGTGCTATAAGCCTCCATGCTCCATGCAGAGCCCCTTTGTGTTTCCAATGTGGTCTTTGCAAACTCCAGATATGAAACATGTATTGTATTTTGGACACACATTCAATGAGGTAAAACTGTGGACATCCCAGGTTGAGTCTAAGTTGTATTTGGTTCCATGGAAAGGTTTATGACAGAGTTTCATATGGTGTTTCTCTGGTTAGCAATAACATTGCTAAGTCCTTCCCCATGGAAAAGATACATGATTTCAGATATTATTCAACTTTCTTAAAACCTCACTGAATCTGGAATTAGGTCAAATAAAAATGGGTTTGAATTCTAGACACAGCTTTACTTTGCTCCATTTGATCCTTACTTATTTAGTCACAGACAGAAATTATTATTAATATTTTAACAACTTTTCACCTAGTCTTTCTGTGAGCTCCTTACTTGAACTTTACGCCATTCTGCCCCTCCCCAGAATTTAGGGGGGGGGGGAATAATTCTCTCTCCCTATTTACTTTAGTGGATAAAGGTCAGAAATGAAACATACAAAGAAAGTTGCAGAATGATTCTCTTTTAATACAATGTATCTAATGTTTGCATATTTCTATTAGAAAGAATGACAGTTTGTGAGAGAATATAGTGCAGTGTGGATCATTATTTCAAGAAGTCCCAAAACATTAGAATAAGAGTGTTTCAGTAAAAAATGTAGATAAAGATTTGGGAGAAAAATGTACAGTAATTCATAAGAACACCAATGTGAAATTCAGTCTAGATTACATCTAATATTGAAGATATTTACCTTCATTCTTATATCTCCTTTGTCCTTATTGGACTTGTTTTTCTGTTGGATGGAAATATATTTTGGTTTGGCCTCTATCAGCTGCAAAACATTGGAGCCAATCTCTTTTCATCAGTCTGATAGGGAGGGCTGAGTCTGTAGTAGGCACCCTTATCTCTGCAATAACCCAGATTCCAGGTTAGAAATCTTTCTTCTAATAAGCTGATGTTACACCTGGGAGAAACACCTTGAAGACTTCCAAGAGAATCCATAATTGGATGCTTCCAATTATGAAGCAACATTTCTCCAAAACCCAAAAGAGATAGAATAGAAATCTCTCCCAACCCTGTACTCCCACAGGCTTACTGCCCTGATCCCCAGGCCCTAGTTCTTCCTTTCCTTTCCTTTCCTTTCCTTTCCTTTCCTTTCCTTTCCTTTCCTTTCCTTTCCTTTCCTTTCCTTTCCTTT